AATATTCCCCATTGTTCTCTCTCAATGAACAATGCTCAACAAATTACAATGCGCTTTATTGTAACCATTTTTGAATGGATTCTGGACACTTTGCTGTATAAAAGCTGCATTACTTGGACCATTGAGAACCCATCTCATCTCATCCGCCTCGGTGTCTAGGTCTTCAATCAATCTCAATCTCAACTTGTTTTTGTTCTATCATCTGTTTCTCCGCTCGTGACTCGCCACTGTATCCATATCGAATCTTTTTAACGTCCTCCTGGTACGAACCTGTGCTTCCTGATCTCCTACTCACAGTAAGCTGACCTTTCTCCTATAGATTTACGCCTCTTCATCGCAGAGCGATATTCCTGCAACCAATAAGATCTACGTTTACTACCTTCACGAAGAACCTCAGAACTATAATGTCTTTTTCCACCGGAAACTCAGCCTCGACCACCCTCTACCAGCTCGTGACATACCTCACCCGTCCTCTAATCGAAATTTATCCCGCGCAAACCATTTTGCAGCTGCAATTTTTCTTGCACGCAAACCTAGCATCTCAATTTCTGTCTCCTGAGACTTTTTCGCTGTCACCTTTCACCTTACTCCTTACGCCTGGCTGTTTACCTCCTACACCTGTATACGCCGCTTGTCTGCAGGCTGGTATAGCGTGGCCTCAATGGATCCGTGCTCTAGGTGGGAAGGCTCTGTATGTCTTCGTGATGGACGGCAATTTGAAGGTTCGCACTGGTGAAGTTGATGACGCTGTGACGTTCTGGTTTGCAGATCCGTCAGAATCGTCGGCTCACCCGACATCGAAGATCCAAACCCAAATCAGCAGTGATGAGGACCAGTCACCAATGACGCTGAAGCTGCAGGCGACGCTTGACTCCGTCCGGTCTCGCAGCTCCACTGCGGCGAAACCCAGGATGTCCGCTCTTCTCACTTCCTCCTGCCTCTTCAACAGCACCAGAAATGCCGTTAATGATTCAGACTCGGAATCCGACACCGAGTCGACTGCTTCGTCGTCTCTGTTCTCAGAAACTTCTTCCATAGAGTCCATGTCTTCTCTCTCTTCTACGGCGTCTTCTCCTGTCTCCAAATCGTCCAACCTTTCCCTCCCTCTTGAAATTCCCGCCTCATCCAAGGTACCCGTCTACATCCCTCGTGGACGCCGTGCAGCTCCGTCTCTAGCACCAGCCCAGACAATTGACACTACCTCTCACCATCATCTCTCTCGTTCTCAACGCCGCCTCGCGCGTTCCACCGTTGATAAGGGCAAGGTTGATACTTGTCGGTATACTTATCAAGGTGGTCAGACCTTAGTCATGACGGGCGGTGTTATGCTTGGAGGTGTGAAATCCGCGGGCGCTGTCAATTCCCCAAAAGTTACCAAACCTCGTAGCAGCACGATTCGGACGCCCCAGAGTGTCTCTACGATCAATTCTCAGACTATCAGGAAAGGCCCAGATTCATCAAAGAATTGGCGCGCTCGTGTTTAAATGCTTCGTTACCCGACGAGCTCAATGTTAGATATTTACTCAACTTTCTCGCTTTTGACGGTTCTCAAACCTTCTCTGTGTATCATACTTGTGTCATCATCTCCTAGATCGGAGACAGGTGCCTATGTTCTTTTAACATCTGTAGCATGGTCTTGTATCTTGTATTGTATATACTCTATTCTCATGTCGCAACGTCGTTCATAATGTTCATAATCACATTCTCCCACAAAGCACAGTCCCCCATGCTTCGATCAACTCAACTACCCAAGTTGATCAACATAGCTTCACTTGCCCCAATTTGCACTGTAATTGAACCATCCCTTGCAGACCTTTGCACCTGCACAGTTTCTGGAATAGACTCAACCCGCTGTGGAAATCCCTGGGTTGTATAATTCCACATTATTCCTCCAAACGTCAGATCTTTGTCAGTGAAAGCTCCGGTGAGTGTCCTGATGATGAGCTCGACTGTCCCGTCTTTAGAGGGAGATCAATCCGAAAGATGACGCTCGGACCGGAATATGGCGTGGTTCCGTTTCATTCGTTGAAATTGATAAGTTGATACAATAAACACCAGTAAAGACAATTCGTAGACCGCGTACGCACTTGTTTTCTCGGAAGTGAGAATTTGAGTGGGCACGTCCTGAGTACTTATCCCTGGAAACAGTGGTGTTTGCGCCCGGATAAGGGACAAAGTCGATTCTCATTTCTGCAGTCTTTGGAACTCCTTCGATTGGGTCTTCTGCAAGTAGATCATCAGGTTCAACAATTTCTTACAAGCACGATTGATTACAATATGAGATGGAATCAAGATGTTTAAAATTTTATATACAAAGCGGTTGAGGTGAGAGGTACAAGGAACGCGACCACTACTCCAAACTGTGGCGGTCGGTCTTGGGAGTGGACTCCCTCCTCTTGCCCTTTCCCTTCTGATCCTCACGATGGACGCCTCAACTCCCCCGATCCTCCTTCCCTTGGCGCACCAAAGCGCGAACTTGAACCATCAGCTCCTCAATGGCATGACACAACTCCCTCTTCTCCTCCCGGTCGGACTCACTTGGCGGGGATCGAACCCGCGTTCTCTTCGACTTCTGGAGGAACAAACAGCTTTGCCGCGCAACATGACATTGGTCGCAGGCAATTGCATTCGGTGCATGAGGTTGAGGGCGACATACTTGGTCACCATGAATGCAATGTTTGCAGGGATTCGGGAAGGCAACTGGAAGGGAATCTGAATCTGAATTGATAATTATTGTCGACTAGGATAGGACATTAGCATCAGGTACTGAAATGGAAAAGAACGGTTCCCTTACACTTTTCCCAACTTGACTCCGCTGCTACTGGTTCAGCTTTCCACTTCTTTGGAATCAAAATCACCTACATTAGTCAGAGGACCCCACGGGATACGAAGAAAAGACTTACTGGAATCACCTCTTGACTAGGACAAGGCCCGATCGCAACCATGCGTGTCATAAACTTCTTATGCGGAGGCTCAACCTTTGGCACCATGACGTGCTCCTCCTTTTCAGAAACAACCTCCACATCTTTAAGAACAACATCCTCCACGACCTCCCCTACACCCGCAACCTGTGCATCCAACCCCGACACTTTTGCCGCTCAAAGTTGCTCCCACTTCTCCTGCACCTTGTGCTTTGCAGCTGCGAGAAACGCTTGGAGTTCGGTCTCCTCCTTGTCATTAATCGGAGTCGACAAACGGCCTGGACAAGTTGGAGAGGAGGAGGTAGACATTGAGAAAGAAGGAAATATTGAAGTTCAACTCTCCCAGGGCCTCTTATATGCGCTAGATGATGTAATCGCACGCAACGATTCGAAAACCAACATCACATGACCTCACCCTTACAACACGACATCCATTCGATACTCCCGGACTTTTTCAACTGTAGATTGGAATACTCAGGTATGGCTTTTGAGGGCAAAAGCCTAATTGGGGGATACTGTTATGATCATGCGCACCGGTCATACACATCGCACATAGCGCTTCACACCGACGCAGTCAACCATACATGATCAAGTCCATCATTGATGCGATGCACCAATGATATGGATCAGGTAATCTACTTCCATGATACTCATCCACCTATCCTCCTTATCCCGTCGCTCCTCCTTCGGATGGGCTATACACCATACTGCCTTCCTCTCTCCATTAGTCCACTGTCTCCTATCCGCACTTGTTATCTTTACTTCCGATTTGTCGTAACTACTTTAGGATCTTCTGTAGTGATACTGGAGATAGCGAACTTAGCATACAAGACTTGTGGTTGTAGGTAGAAGAAGCCTTAGTTTTAATATCGAATTGGTACAACTCCCAATTATCATACAACACTTGTCCTTATCACTTGTATACCTTGTTTGACCCCGTTGACCTTCAGTCGATACTATCTCGATCTCAAACAAACTCAATACAAACCGCGCAGCATAGCAAGGGTATTGTCAATAGCAGTACCAAAGGTCCACTCGATCCACACGCTCCTAACAATTCCGCAGGAATGCTCACTTGTCTTGCCAAATGCACATTACTATGTTTGTACGAACAAGTTTTTCTTTGTGAACTACAAGATGGCTAGCCAGGCTACTATGATTGTCAGGGATAGTCATTGATCATGGACAGTCTGAACTTTTTTGAACACACTTTTCTTGCTATTGGATGCCCACAAAGTCCCACAAGGAATATTTTATAGAATCATTAGATAGTAATATGCAAGTCGAGTGGACCTTTGATACTGCTTTTGACAATATCCTCGCTACGCCGTGCGGTCCGTGTTGAGTTCGCTCGAGATTGAGATAGTGTCAACTGAAGATTGACAGGGTTGAACGAGGTTATAGAGAGATAGAGAGTTGAGGATGATATTAGAGTCATACCAATTTGATATTAAAACTAAAGCTTCTACCTACAACCACAAGTCTTATATACTAAGTTCGCTATCTCCGGTATTGCTACAGAATATCCTAAAGTAGTTACAGTGAGTCAGGAGTAGAGATAACGAGTGCGGATAGGAAGACAGTGGACTAATGGGGAGAGTAAGGCAGTATGGTGTATAGCCCATCTGAAGGGATTGGCGACAGGGTAAGAAGGATAAGTGGATAGGTATCACAGAAGCAACTACTATGATCTGTATCACTAATACGTCACATCGATGGTAGCATTGACAATGATGTTTTTGGTGCAAACCGTTCCATTCAATGAGTAGCGTGCGTTCGATACAAGGTGTTCTGTGCAATGTGTATGACCAGTGCGCATGATCGTAACAGAGGGGTCTGAAGAGTTCTGTCAGGAATAAGGAAATAGGGATTTAACCCAAAAATTTATCTGAACAGGGTCACCATCAGCATTATACCTAATTATTAGGAGTCAAATAATTTCAGACACTCTGAATGAGACTGGCAGTTTCGGTGGATTCAATGGGGTCCCATGAGATGCAGTTGGTGCCGAACTTTGAAATGTTTATGTCATTACCTGAAAGGATTTTATGCAGTCCCCAAAAATTCATCAAAAAGGAACGTCACCTGTGCGATTCGAACACACGCGGGCAAAGCCCAACCGCTTTGACTCTACAACTTGTAGCAGGCGATCCCGTTAACCACTCCGGCAAAGTGACTTATTTTTCCACATTAAGAATCCTTTCCATATTCTGCTTGTTGGTTGCCCGCAGACCAACCAGTTAAGTTGAGAAAATCTTTTCATGTTTGAGATACGAACGAGCGTCAGCGTACATACAAAAGCTCTTCATCGACGTGGTGAAATACTACAATGGAAAAAACTTGAGAGACTGTCAAACACTCCGACAAAGTGGGAATGCTGAAATTTTCAGTCAGTCGTTCAGTGAGTCTGTGATAGTGGGTAGAACGCCGATCATTGATACTCAGAGAGGCTGCCGAACGCAGTTCATTTGAACATGGCCCGTTGATTCATGTAGCCACCTCAGCGAACGAACGCCAACATGATTTACAAGTAATTTGTACAAGGCTCTTGGTTGTGTCTGAGCGCATATCATTGAGGTCGGAGCTCACCAATTGTATATATTTTCTACTTTTTATTATTACCAGGTCAAGTTGGAAGGAGACAGAATTATGGTAAAGCTATGGGTCGGAAGAATCGGGTTTGTGTTCTTTGTACCCCGAAGGCGCAGTGCCACGGTATTCATATCGGCCATTATTAACTTCTTCACGCAAACCAGTCAATGGTTCTTTCTTCTCCACGACAGTAGTAAAATCCTCTGAATCGTCCTCGTCCTCGTCTTCCGACGTGAGTCTCAGACTCACTAGAAAGAGCATGATGAAGATGAAGAGAATGAGGATTGGGACTCGTATGTAGATTTGAGCGTCAATCGTGATCCGGGCACCCCGGGCACCCCGAACGATGTTGTGGCTGAGATTGACGAAAGCCTGAGAGCCTTTGCTGAAGGCATGAGTAGTTAGAACTAGATATCTCTTAATGAGAATGTTTATATTGACAAGGAAGATAGTCGTACCTGTCGCCACCGCTTTATGATAATAGACTACGCTGACAGTGGTGGAGTTTTGTGATTTCGAGAGCTCAAAAGTGGTGCCAGGAATATGGCTGCGTAAGACAAGGGAATCGATTGCGGCGATTGGCACGCCGTTGACGATGTGTGATGAAAGAATGGAAAGAATGAAGGCTACAGCGGTAATCAAACGATAGCAATAAGGCATTGTAAAGATTGTGAGTTGGAGACTGTTAGAGAACAAGAAAAAGTGACATGTTTTAATAGACCTGAACGAACGCTTGTAACTCGATTTGGAAGGTTGCGCCTACGATCAAAAAGCTTAGAGCCACAATCCCCTGTCTCTCCTCTTTAGGGGCCCCTAGGCGGCCCATTAGAGTCTGGACGACAATGTAAAGGTGGTCAGACAGATTCTGAAGTACCTGAACTCACACTCTCCCCTTATTCCTCCCATGCTGCCGAACCACAGACTTTTAGAGCTAGTTGTAGTTGATATGTGGGATCGACAGCCGGAAGAACGACGTTTGCGAATGAGGCGTAAGTGGATTTGGAACGTATGTGCGATCAAGGGGACAACAGGGAATGTTGTGACATTCAGCGTGGATAGGGTCAGATAGGGTTGACATGGACAGCGCAGCAAGCCAAAAGCACTCACGAAGCGAGAATGGAGTGGTAAAAGTCGCACTAGTGTACATGTATGAATAATACATAATAAATTCAGGTACGCCTTGACCTCTGAGGTCGCCTACTTGAAGCGTCAGTCTATAAAGGCTGACTAGACAGTCTAGAGGTCGTACCAGTGATCCCTAGTAACATCCGCTGCTACCTACTTGGCTATTACACTATGAGGTATGTCCCTTATACAACTCGACAATCCCAAACCGACATCAACGAACCACAGCGTCGTCGATAAAAACCCAATGATGGAGTCGATCGTGGAATGGGCGAATATCAACGGCCCAAAATTAGAAAAGGCGTATAAACAGAAGGGCGGATGGGAAGGATGGGCCCAAGTGGAACTCGCTTCGTACCTTGAACAAGTATTCGGTGGTGAAGGTGTTGCTACAGTCAGTCGCGAAGACTACGTCTATAACGGCAACGACCAAAGATCCGATTTGTTAATAAAGACACAGAAGGAGAACGGTACCTATTTCACCAACATGTTCGAGCTTAAATGCGAGAGTTCTGCAAACTCGGGCAATTTCAGAACCAAGGTTCAAGCAGACTGCACAAAGATTACGAACGGTGTATGGAACACAGAATTTGCACCGTGTGAAGCGTGGATTATTGCGATCGGCGTCACGAAGACTGTAGGAGATCTCGCGGTGGGAGGCAAAAATTTGGCGCCATACTATAAGAAGATCCAGGCAGGAGGAACGCAGATGACGCTTTGGTGGGGTTCGAGAGCATGAATTATACTTGTACTTTTGCACTGTACATTATAATCATCAACGTTTCGAGATTTTTGATTGTTTGGAAGATTTACTCAATGATCTTTCATTTGCAGAAACTTCCGCGAGCACGGACTAAACACCGTGCTGATAAACCTTCGTTGCACGTTAGAATCACAACATTGATATGATATGCTCCGCCAGTTTTTGACCTCTGCAAGTTCCTCTTCTTTAGTCGTATGTAGAACATTCGCGATGTTGTCGTTGATATTGACTCCATTTTGACAGTTGAGCGCTAAGTTCAGGTGAGACGCTCGGCCACTTGTGGCATACATAGTTGAAGTTCACAAAGGAAATGAAAACTCGTTTCTGCCAGCTCCCGGCGCGAAAGACACTGTTCACTCAGATATGTCACATTAGCCCTCTTTGTAGAAGTCTTTCGCTATCAAGTATCCTGCTCGAATTCATACTGAATTTTCGTCTATCTTTTACAGATTGTCAATGTTCTATGTTCTCAAGCCCTACGAGCGTCTCGTGCTCGCTGCCAGCCAACTATATCCCCTACATCAGCTTATACCGAACTCCTGAGATGTCAATATTCTTCAGTCAGCGCCTCGTTCTCGCTCTCAACTAACTATTCATCGTCGAATGCCAAGTGGGGCCGGGTCGATGATCAGGTCAGTAAACTGCATCGTAGAATATAGCTGTCCAGAGCTGTCCCTGTAAAGTTATTTCGTACGTTGTATCCCTTCGCACCCGTACGCGCGCGCGGCAGTCCTGTTTGTTCAATGTCCGCAAAGGTCTCAATTGAACCCCCCTTCTAATCATCCCATGACGATACACAGCAACTCTTGCTTCCCGTTCTTCGTATACACAGCAGCTCTTGCTTCCCGTTCTTCGTAAACACAGCGCATTTGTCATTCTTTCTCATACCAAAATCGCCCTAGAAATTTCGAACGCCACAGGCATCGCAACACGATCTTTCTCCAATTCTTTTTTATTGTCTGACCCTGGTGATATGAATGCTAGATATCCCCCTAGTGAGATTAGAATGAAGGCTGAGATGATGACAGATGCTGGGATGTGGAGCTGGATGAATATCATGACCGGGGCACCTCGAATGATACCGTATAGGTATTGTACGAGAGCGTCTAATCCAGTTGAGAATTTGACGAGAAGGACAGCATGAGGATCTAAATACTCGAGTGATTGATGTTTGGAACTCATAGAGAACAATCATACCTGTCACCGCCATCCCCGACACCCCTGTAGAATAATGCGATCCGGTTTTCGAGATGGTTTGAAAAAGCTGTTCGTGAGCTTCTAAGAGCTCGCAATGGACTAGGATAAACCTCTGTTCGGAAGAGGGGATTGGCGAACCCTCAACTACATTTGATGAGAAGGTGAGGACAAGAGCAGAGGATAGACACAGGTAAAAGAAAAAGAGCTTATGCATTGTAGGAAGGACTTGCAGGAAAGCAGAACACTCAGATGGACTTTTTATATTTTGAAGCTCGACTACCACAGATGACAGTGGGAGACAATACAACACTTCGCACTTAGCAGTCCGCGCTTCTTGGCATCCAAATTGACAGCGGAGAATGTTGGAGATACGGCAGTGTGTTGGCGATGGTAACCTTGGGGATTCACATCTTGGACTAAGTATACAAGAAAAACAAAACTTCAGTAGTGAATGCCAGAGATTGAAATGAACACTCGACATACAGCAGTCACAATATACTATACTATACAATATTTCTATGTATATCTAACCAATCCCTAGTTTTCTCATCCAATAACTCCATCACTCCTCAATTGAGACACCTCCTCCGGCGACAAGCCCAATTCATCCGTCATAACCTCTTCAGTATGATGTCCCAGCTCCGGTCCAGCCCATTTCGGCTGCGATTCACATCCTTCTAGTACAGGAAACGTTCCAGTCATCTTCAGATTCCACCCTGCCTTTCCACTTCCATTCCCATCAACCCACACATCCTTAATCGCACCTCGTGCCTGCATCTGCTCACTCTCGACAATATCCTTGACAGTAACCACCCGACCGACAGGAACACCAGCTGCAGTCATCGCTTTGATCACCTCTTCTGCAGTATGTCTCGTCGTCCACGCTGAGATAGCTTTCTCGATGACCTCCTGCCGCTCAACTCGGTGGTGATTTTGTTGGTAGGCAGGCCCGGTGAGATCTGGGCGTTCGACGACTTGCATAAGACGGTTGTAGATGGAGTCACCGTTGGCGCCAATGACAATGTAAGAAGGCACAGTGGGTGATTCGACATCGGGAAGACATGGATAGGCGTTGGTGGGTACAATACCGGTTACCGAAGAGCCGGAGGGGCCACGGATCTGTCAATGAGAATGGTAAGGTCAGGAAAAAGGTAGCTGAAAATAACACGGACCTTGCCCTTACGGTCGTACTCTGGTACGACTCCTTCCATCAAGTTAAGCATGCTGGAGGTATGAAAATTCTTAGTTGGAAAAATGAAGGGATACAAGAATGTACTCACCTTTCCAAAATGCTGACGTCCACCGTCATACCTTTATTCTGACCTTGTTTACGTTTTTCTCGACGCGCTAATAGTGCAAGAACCTACAGAGGCGAGATAGATAAAGGTGCTTCATGATTGTATTTCGAAAGACTCACAGTACCAAAAGCCGCATGCAACCCAGCGACCGAATCTCCGAGACTAATGTTAGGTCGTACAGGAGGCCCAGAAAGTCCACCAG